ATTATTATTATTATTATTATTATTATTATTATTATTATTATTATTATTATTATTATTATTATTATTATTATTATTATTATTAATTATTATTATTATTATTATTGTTATTATTATTAATTATCGTTGTTATTATTAATTATTATTATTATTAAATTATTATCTCAGAGCACGTATAATATAGTCCACAAGATTCTAGATTTGGAATTCAAGAAATTAGACGAGTGATGGGGGAACTTTTTACTGAGTTCATCAAATTTGTTCATTTTTTAGGGTGAGAAAATTTTGTTATAATTTAGCTCACAACATTGGGCAGAAAAATAGTTGGATGAAGTTTGAATGAAAGAAAGAGACGAATTTTAATTCCAATTCCTAAATTAGCACATAATTACGTTAGAGAAATTGTAGAGAAATAGAAAATATTAAGTTGTTAAATAATTGAAATTATATTGCATTAAGCAGTTTGCCGTTGCTATGGACAGATCAATACAACTTCTATTGTTCAAACAACTCTTTTAATTAACGAGAAACTTTTCATTTATCATACAGTCCGATTAGTTTGCACATTCTGATGGCAAATATGATTAAAAGTTGCTTACATTCTATTTCATGACTTTATTTTATTCTTTCTGCTTTGAATGGCTTATATGTGTTTACTTTCATTTCTGTTTGCAGTTTGTCAGCTTTCTACAGGTTTACTGCATATTATTATCATATTTCTGCAAAAATAAAACCAACTCTTACATTAATTTTTGTTCATAGAAGAATGCATAAGGCTCATTTTTCAAAAAATGTCTTATTTTTACCATTCAGAGATCCGATTCCATTCCTTATTAAGGTTTTTTTTTTTTTCTTGGACCAGATTCCTACAGGATTTCATTCTTGTACATAACCGGATAGTTCTTCCTTTTTTGCATTCATTTTATCTGAGGTATCATTTTTAAATTTCTCAATATATAAAATGTTAAATAAGGCATGGAGGAAGGAGTGAATGCTGATAGTCTACACAAAATGAACAATTGCATGCCTAAAAAATGGTTCACTGTCTTCGTAATGTATTTACATAGTTTAAATGTATTTCAGTATTACTTTATAATTTAACATATGCGTTATATGCTGCAACGAATGTAGTGAATATGTTAATCTGATTGACAAATTTAACTGGAGCTTTTTTTTTGCGATAATTCCTGTTCAAAAATCATAAAAACACCAAAATAAGGCTTATTTTTGGTTTGGTGATATTTTCATAGAAATGCGGCATAATAAAATTGAGAAAAGTCTGAGAATAATATTTCGAACACTTTTTCAAAATAATAATGGCAGTGGCAGAAAATAAAATTCTTTCTAGTTGTGATTTGATAAAACTAACATCTGCCGGCTTCGTTTTTGACCTCTTTTCCTATATTCCATTCCATACTATTGCTATCCTTGCATTATATTCTATTTAGACATTAGAACGTATAGTAGGAATAGAGGCCGTTACTATTTACTTCAAGTTAATATCCTTCAGTTTATAAGTTAGTAAATTAACTAATAAAAGTTGAATCAAATCTACAGACGAAGCATGCTGTTTACCATACCTATATGCATCTTGCAAACATTGTTTTCCAGATATTTACATAGATTTTTTTCACAATCAATCCACATGGTTATCATTTGACGTAGTCGCGTTTATCGAGGATATTGTTAAGATAACTGAGAAAAAAAATGCTTGAAAATTTTCTTTATAAAGAAATGGGATAATGCGTTTTAAATGCATATTTCATATAAGAAGAATAATTTACATCACCCAATTTGATTTTTCTTTTTTCTGAAGTTTAATATTTTCACATCGTATAGGAGTTAGGATTACGTACTTCTTTCGGCCATTTCCATTGTCATTATTATTATTGTAAACGAATTCGAACTTTTCAGCTGTTCGATATAATTCAGCATAGCATATCTTTCGGTGGTAGGAGGAACTACAATGGATATCGAAGAAAAACACGTTCGGGAAGCATATAAATATTTGGCATCACTTCCAGGTATTGCTTATGCAACGCGAAAGTCAGTAATTCGGTGGATTAATGTTCAAAAATTTGTTAACCAACTTCCACTGGGCACAATTGCCGTTGACATTGGCAAGTTCTTCGTCTTTTTTTTTTTTTTTTCGCTTCATTTGTAATAATAAAAAACTATAAATATATTATGCAAGAAAAGCAATTCTACCATTCATATTGCAGTTTATTCTAAGCCGAAGTTAGTAAAAGGTGCCATAACAATTTGAAGGAATGTTGGAATTTGACAATCTGACTTGAAACT